CTATAGGTCCCATAACGACTCGCACTTGTGATAGAAAATAGTATGTGCAACTCGTTCGGAAAAGTTGCCATAGCGCCACTTGGGCGCTTTCCGCACTCGCTTCGCTCGTGCGTCAACTGCGTCCTCGTGATGCTATTGGCAACTTTTCCCCACTCGTTACACAATGTACTATTAATTTTACCTAAACTGAATTGCCAACATAAAGGAAATAAAATTCCACACAAAATTAGGTACTGGTCACGTGGCTTGTATTCATTTATGAAGACTGTAGTATTCCCCGCGATATTAACAGTTAGGAATCTTGTCTCTGAGGTTAGATATCTTTTGAATAGGTTTTGTATCCAAGAACATTATTTGACTTCATTTAACAGGACTTTTTCAAGAAAAAATTTTTTCAATTTATTTGAATTAGCTTAATATCTTGATAATAGAGTAAAATGTATAATTTTAAAAATAATAGGCATTCTATTAGCAGAAAACAGAACGTAGTTTATCACAGAAAAATAATCTACTACGTTATATTGAATTTCTACTTTCCATAAGAAACCAAATAGTATATAACTTTCCATTCATCGAGTGCGATTATTGAGTTAAGGAAAATGGAAGATGAAGATAAATTGTGTAAAAAGTATTGTTTGAAAAATATACAGATTCTTTTTTAAACATCTAACCACTAAGTATATACTTACGAAAAATAATGAAATGATATTTATAATAAATACACGGCTAAAGTTCATTTTTTTTTAGTCGCAATTTTGTGTGGCATTTCTGCACAGCAGTCAGCTGCTCTTTGTAGATTGTGGATATCCAAAGTTTACGCTCTACTTTACCGAATTCCATATTTTTTTATTGCCTCTTTTACGACTTTTACAAAATGTTTACAATAAGAAAGAAGACACTGGATCATTAGATGATGATAGCAAGAATAACAATCTGTCCAATTATGATAAAAATATAGCAAATGGAGATATGCGCGTCATTAAGTCCCAATAGTTATAAATGATTAACGTATTCTGTATAAGTCCTTAATAAAATACCGACCATTAATGGTATTGTTATGAATAACTTTATAAGGCTGAGTTTACAACACAGATAATGTTTGATTTTGTATCGACTGTTTTCGAAAATTTGTCACAGTGACAAAATCCTTATAATGGGGAAGTTGCACAATTTTTTTTCTTTTCTTATTAAATTCCTTTCATCGTAAAAAGTCAATTGCCACATAAATTTTAAATTTTTAATTAATAGTTTTCCTAAAAAAAATATAGAAATTCAAAATAATTCTCTATGCACTAAAACGCAGTCTTAAACAGAGACGGCTGACTCTTACGTCACGATCCGGTATCGGTCCAAATTAAACTAGTCGTGTAGAGTCGTGTTCTGTAGTCTGTCTCACTTTTACTCATTTGTGTTTACGCAAACTACGTGTGTCAGATAGATTTTTTTATATTATTTACTTTTACTTAACACAATATTGTTAATTATTTTAAAACTGTACGTGTAAATTCTATGGCTACAGAAGCTGGATTTGTCCAAGAGCAATCTGATGATTTGCCAAAAATAGATGTTCTATAAAATATGTTTGCATGATCCTCACATATATGTAAAATAGATTTAACACTAACAACATTTCTTCCTCATTTCCATCCTTTGGTACATTAAATAGTTTGTTGGGGGCAGTTATTGTTGCGGAACTACACATCGGTATTATAATATTTATGTTCAGACACTGTTATGTTTTTCACGTTCTCGTGTTGTAATTCTGATCTTGAAGCCGCCACGCATTAAAGCTGCCTGGGTAGATACTGTGAAAATGTTCGTAGACTCTACGAAAATTAACGAAACTTGTCTTTAAATTTATACACTAAAACTAACTACTCAAAACTACTCAGAATTCAATGCGAACACAAACTAATTCAACACAAGATTAAATGACAGCAATGCAATGACAGCGCCAGTCTCCCGCGTCTTGACAGTCTTAACACTCATATACCGGATCCTGATGTCACAAATTGCTTGACCAATTAGGGACCGTTTTCGCCCTATATTCAATATTTCAATAATTAATCACATTTTAATAGTTAAGTTTAAAGGGGTTTTACATATAGAAACATACTTTTATAGTAATTTTCGGCATTTTAAATAAATTTTGCTTCAAAAGAAAATTTGATGCAACTTCCTCATTATTCGCCCAAATATTTCCTTGTATGAATGAAAAAATACCAGTAATTTTTTTTACCTGGATAATATTTTCCTTTAAACTCATAATACGTTTGTAAATATGGTTCATTATAGAATTTTTTATATTCTCTTATAATAAGCAATTTTTTGTTATTATTTGTAATATTTTCGTTAAAAAACAATAAATATCAGAAAAAGAAAATGAGAATGTGATTATTTTTGATACATGGTTTCATGGTTATAATTTTGAATTTGCTTTACTTGCAACTTTATACGGTATTTAAAACCGTGCTACAAGTTATTGTTTTAAAACATATGTTAGAGATGTTTTAAAATCTTATGAGCTTTGACCTTCATATGCGCAGAAACATAATTCCGACCGTCGCCTAAATTATTCTACGTCCTAAAAACATTACACCTATTATTCACAGTCTCTCTCGAGCTCTAGCGTAAACAAGCCTTTGATCCGATTACAAATATCATAATAAAATGCCCTATTCTTTATTATTTTAATTTAAACAATAAACATATATATAACGAACGTTCGCCAGTTGACTTTATTGATGTCCGGGCGCCTTAGTTCATGTCTACTTGTAATGATGCACATGGTCTAGTTCTGAGTCAATGTTTTCACAACGTGCTTATTAGAAGAATTATGGGGATACTCCACGCCTTTCGCGCATTTCGCGGCTCATGAGATATTAAAAGTTCTCTAACTATCTTTTATTAACAGTCTGTTGTTTCTATAAAAGACAATTTATATTATTTCATTAGTGAAACAATATAAAATAAACATAAACGATACTTAATTAATAGGTAGATGTTTGTTATTATATCAATTATTTAGTTCAGTTTGTTTTAAGGAACTAAAAAAAATAAAAGAACATTATGATGTACGTTTTTCGGAAATTTATATAAAATGTGAAATCTATTGTAAAATACCTAGTTACCTAGTTACTCAACGGAATTTGGAAATACAATTAATAAATGCGTTACAAGGTTCTCAGTTCTTACACTACTTTTATTAAAAATCTTAACGAAATGACAAATAAACTTTCAGAAAGTAATTTAAGTTTGTAAACAGTAACAGAATGCCAATAATAAAAATTATATACTTACCAATGAAAAACATAAAAAGCTTATTTTTAGATTAATAACATAGATAAAGAATGTGTTGTATCTACCCTATTATTCATTGCGGAGCTCCAGCAAAATAAAAAATATTGCAGAAACAAGATAAGTTTTGTATCTGGCTTTATAGCAGATATGCAATTATCAATCAAACAACAACCTTAAAATTTAATCGTATTTATTTGAATACACCACGTTAAACAAATAAAAAACTTACAATAGTCACAACAATCCTTACTGTGTATGTACAATATTTATAAATTAGTTAAAAATAAATTAAAATTCTCCATCGTTATTCCAATTTACTCGCTTTTACACATCCATTTGGAATAGATGAGGCGTTTTTACTTTTCTTGGTGTAGGCCTTCCGGTAGAAATCAGCGAAGAGGTATAGGAATATAGCAACGTTGCCCGCGAAGAAGAAGGTCACTGATTTGGACAGTTTGCAGCCCATCATTGGAATGGAGAACAGATATACCAGCATTATGCAAAATTGTGTCTGCAAGTAAATGCAATTTCATTATTAGTAAAATAAGTAACTGTGAAAATTGGTGAAAGAAACTAAAACACAAAAGTACAAATAGATAGAAATAAGTTTATGTTTCTGACTCGCGAGATTAAGAAAGTGCATTGATTCAGAAGGAATAAAAGGTAGGTGCAATGATTTGGGATAGCAGCTATCTGTGGAGCTATCTCAGATGCAAACTTATTTGTGTCGATCTGTATGAGTACTAAAGACATTGGAAAATAAAATTTAATCTAATTTTGTGTTGATTTTACAATTTTTGAATTAATGTGGTTTTACGCCAATAACATCAATCAAAGGGTAAGTTTTATAATTATTTGACACCTAGAAAGCAGGTACTGTTCGTGATTTTATTCATGCGTGGAAGGTGCAAAATTTAACAGAGGGGCAACAGTGTAGTAAGTAATGAAAAAATTATAGTCTATTAAATATTTTTATTTGGGGGTGAAAATTTGCCGAAGGTTAGTGGAGGTCAAGGGAACATACAATATTGAAATATATAGCTAATAAAAATTGGTAAATGGTTCTAATTCGAGGCGCGTTTGTGCATTGGATCAAAAGTCAGGGGAGGTCAGCATTGTCCTGCCTCCACTTGCGGAAGCCCTTGGACTTCATTAAAGAATCCTACGTAAATGAACGCAATCAGTGTCACTTTTCAATGTTCCTCATTTTGATTTTTATATAGGTATAATTTTTCTAATAATTTTTATGAAAACTATTCACTTCTACAAAATTTTTTTTTAAATCTGGTGTAGTGGAAATTTGTAGTTTCAGTTGTGATCCAAATTTGTATGGTTTAAAATAGAACACATCATATAATGTTCCATTTTCTATTGATATTTGTAGGTATATATTTTCTTTAAAACGACCTTTGTCAGATTTGGTGTAAAAAAAATAAAACTAATTTCTTTGCATTTACATTATTTAAACCGTATATTTTCTGAATTCAACTGTTTTGTCAAATAATTTAGTGTGACGTGGATTTAAGAATGTCTTATGCCTGTTTGCACCGCAGTTCGTAATCATTACTTAACAATAAGTCAGTGGCGGCTCGCCAGGTGACGCAAGTGACGCACCGCTTCACCTAAAATTTCCATTTGGTTGTGCAACTTAAAATTATTTTTAATTTTATATAAATTTTATAATTTAGGTATTAATTCTACATTGAAAATGTGTTGTGTTTGTTTGTCTTATACGCAGAAATAAACAGAATATTTGCGCGGTGAACACCTTCTAAAAAAACATTGCCTTCGTTGAACGCGAACATTAACCTCGCACCATACAACGTATAGCATAAGCAAGTGATGCGGATCGAAATCAGTTTGCATTCGGCTTCACTTCGTAGCGTTGTTTACGGCGGTTGTCATGGCAACGGAGGCAACATAAAATAGCCAATAAAGTTCTGTTATCGGAACTACTGTAACAATTTACCGCGGCAGGGGCGTGTCTTGAATTTTCCGCCAATGTCTTTCTACCTTGTGTGTCGAATGCGGTTAATTCCAAGAAAGTGGGGTCTTCTTGGAATTCTATCTCAACAAATAACGTACGGACTGTACTTAAAACGTATGTGTGTTATCGTGCCTATAGTTTGTACTACTTTTAATTTAAAATAGAAATACAAAAATGGATATTCAAATGAATGACATATTTTAAAGATATTTTAGAAATTTATTTATTGTAGGTTATGAGTTTCCCACTTCTATACTGAGGACCAATTTAATTTTTACACAAGATTTCCAAGATTTCGCGTTAAAAAATTCGGCCTCCTGAACACGAATCTGGGGTCAGAATTGGCCCATCATATCACAATTTTTTCCTAACCTCAAAAAACTTGTAAAAAATAGTGAAAATTGATGAAAATTTACTGGGAAAATTTGGAAAAAAATTTATTTCCACATCAAATAGTACATTTTTATGTAAAAGACTCTGCTGAATTCAAATCCACTGTCAGAATTGAGCTAGAACGTGTGGTTTTTTTCTGACCTCAAAAAAACCGAGCAGGAATCGCTATTTTCAAATTCTGAGCGGATTTTGACCAGATTTTGTATAAAGGGGTTTTTNGTTGTGCAACTTAAAATTATTTTTAATTTTATATAAATTTTATAATTTAGGTATTAATTCTACATTGAAAATGTGTTGTGTTTGTTTGTCTTATACGCAGAAATAAACAGAATATTTGCGCGGTGAACACCTTCTAAAAAAACATTGCCTTCGTTGAACGCGAACATTAACCTCGCACCATACAACGTATAGCATAAGCAAGTGATGCGGATCGAAATCAGTTTGCATTCGGCTTCACTTCGTAGCGTTGTTTACGGCGGTTGTCATGGCAACGGAGGCAACATAAAATAGCCAATAAAGTTCTGTTATCGGAACTACTGTAACAATTTACCGCGGCAGGGGCGTGTCTTGAATTTTCCGCCAATGTCTTTCTACCTTGTGTGTCGAATGCGGTTAATTCCAAGAAAGTGGGGTCTTCTTGGAATTCTATCTCAACAAATATCGTAGGGACTGTACTTAAAACGTATGTGTGTTATCGTGCCCATAGTTTGTACTACTTTTAATTTAAAATAGAAATACAAAAATGGATATTCGAATGAATGACATATTTAAAGATATTTTAGAAATTTATTTATTGTAGATTATGGGTTTCCCACTTCTATACTGAGGACCAATTTAATTTTTACACAAGATTTCGTATTACAAAACAAATTTACCTGCAGATATTATCGTTAATATCAGTTGGAATTGATTATATGCAAAATCAATAATTTTTATTTTTTAAAGTGGTTTTTATTCTTGTATCTTAAGATGGGCCCATTATATGAACTAAAGATAAACGGAAAGTACTGAAGGACCTAACATAAAGTAACAAAAATTACTAGAAGTAATTAGATTTCTTCGCTGTTGCCGGTATAAAGATGTACTTTACTAAGTACGGTTTATAATTTTTGGGGCAATACCTTAACAAATTAAGTATAACTTAACTTCAAAAACGGTCAGATTTTAGTACCGTCTCAGTAATTGAAATTTGCAAAATACGTACAGTTTCGTGTTCAAGTATTTGTGATATACAGGGTGATTCAGGTTTGATCTGGATAATTTCAGGGATCAATAGAACAGGTTAAAATAATGTTCATTCATGATATAATAAACAAGTTTCAAAATTAATGAGACAAAAGTGGTATGCAGCTGTTTAATTGAAATTAATTAATTTTTTGAAGTTCTGAAATAATGTAGGAGGGGAGTGGTACACAAAATACACTTCTAAGAGTGGTAGGTGATTCAAAGTTAAGAAGCTTATGTAAGATCATAAGGAGTGTTTGTGTTCTGAATTTCACCTGGGATAAGTGGTTTAAAAGTTATGAGGGAAAAGTGGGATAAATTTTTTTATTTCAACGCCCTCTATCTCCGCAACGATGCGTTTTAGGAAATAAGTTTACATCATGAATGAACATTACTTTAACCTATTCTATTGATCCCTTAAGTTATCTAGATTAAACCTGAATCACCATGTACAGTCTTTAAATACATTGTAATAGATTTAATCGAATCGTTGACTAGGTATAACAACTTATAGAATAAATGGTTTTTGGATAAAACTGTAACGTTACAGCAATACTTATTATTCAAAATTATATTCATTATAATTATAAAAATATGAAATGTAATTATACATATAAGAAAAAAAATTGGCTTCTCGATGCTACTTAATAGCAAAAACCGCTGTTCTCTATATCTACTTTTTCGTCAAGTTTTTTGTGCTATTGCCGAATATTTCCTTGAATATATTAAACTAGTAGCGTTGTGCCAATTGATTCAAATAGACAATAAATTTACGTAGGTATTTATTTTGGTTTAAAAAAAAATGAATATTGTTATTAGTATGATAATGACCTAAGTGTGTGTTATTGGTGTAGGTGTGCGTCTTACCGTCGGTCAAGTAAATCGTGTTCTAACAATAAGATTTGTGTTAAGTGTGTGACAGAAGCTAGTAGTCCAGGCAAGTTAGACTAAAATCACCCAGAATACGGAAATTTTTTTCTGATGAACCGATCGAGTCTACAAATTGTAACAATTGACTAAAAGTTGTGGAAATTTGGTTTTCGGGGTCGGAGATTCCGAATCTGACCCTGAAAAATATGCCCGGCGGCCCTGGGCCCCCCTAGGAGGGCAAGGGGGGCCTTCTGTAAAACATCGAATAGCTGATTGCTTTCTAAATTTCCACTCGGGGGTTTTTGGGGCCGGGGATTCCGATTCTGACACTGAAAAGTATGCTTGACGCCCCTGGGTCCCCCAGGGGGGCAAGGGGGCCTTCTGTAAAACATCGAATAGCTGAGTAATTGCCTTCTAAATTTCCACTTTGGGGTTTTTGGGGTCGGGGATTCCGATTCTGACACTGAAAAGTATGCCCCACGCCCTGCCCCCCCCAGAGGGGCAATGGGGGCCTTCTGTAAAACATCGAATAGCTGAGTAATTGCCTTCCTAAGCATGGAATTACATGCACAATTGCATGTACAAATTGTTTTGGAACCAACTGTTCCAATCCTGAAATAGTCGAAAATGTAATAGATGATAGTGATGGAGACAGTGATGATAGTACTGATGATGAAAATTGTGATTGATAGTGAAAGTGTTAGATAAACATATGATAGTAGTTGTCTCACTAATTGCCTTGCAAATAAAAAGAATAAAGGGGATTCTTTTCGATTCATTAATTTCCTGTTAGTTTTTCTTACCCTTCTTGTCTAATCTCTGTAAATTTACGTGTGTTACAATGTAAAGATGAGCCTACAAGATCTTGGTTGGTAAGCAGGTAGAGCAGTTTTATTGCAAAAATCCGTTGTGCCTTTCGATGTTTTTCAGAAAGCCCACCCCACGGGCGTCGGGCATACTTTTCAGTATCCGAATCGGAATCCCCGACCCCGAAAACCCCCGAGTGGAAATTTAGAAGGCAATTACTCAGTTATTCG